TGTTGCTTCAGGTAGCTTTCCATTTTTCTGAAGGTCTGCTCAGCATGGTGTACGGCTTGGTAGAACTCTTCAGAACTGCTGGGGTCCATATCGCATTGAGGAGTCAAAGGATGGTTGGCCGCAGAGAGCCTATGAATCCAGGAAGGAAGGAAGGAAGGAAGGAAGGAAGGAAGGAAGGAAGGAAGGAAGGAAAAGATAAATAGCTTTCCAGAAGTAATGACTTAATCAAAAGCTTTCAAAGCTGATAAGAAAATAATTCAGTCTGCCTCTCCTGCCCTCATTACTTAGAATCATAATAGACGGAAATCTCTTGGCTATCTAAATTAGGCACAAATCAGTATGACACTACTGAGAAATGTATCTTCATTATCACACAGAAAAAGAAAAAGAAAACCACAAAATTCAAGCATAGCTAACTTATTTGTTTGATTTCCTACATCACCGGTACCCTGGTTGTTATTCAGTTATATTTTGTTCATAATTAACAAAAGCAATTGCCCTAATTTTACAAAGAAAACTGCATACATGGCTAGCTCTGAAGGTTTAATGGTTCACGACTACATCTCTTTCCTACCCAAACAGGTAACAAAACACCAGCAGACTTTTTTTCTAATAGTCTGCCCTTGCACGTTTCAGTCAAAATTTAATATTCTGAAAACATTATTTCTACAAGTTTGTTTACTTATCGGTCTAAAATTTCTTGTCTATTTTCTGTTTGCAAGCCACGCTTCTCCTCTGCCTCCCTGGTATCTGCTTTCTTCTCAGCAACTGGGTCTGAGATGATGTCCCTCTTTGTTCTTCCGTAAGTACAGTACTTGTTCCTTGCAAAGTGATGCTTCTCAAATGAAAGCTAGCCACGCCCACTTCTGCTTATCCCAATACCCATCTAAGTAACTATTTATGGGGTTGCTCTACGCAAGGGCCAACCTGATCGACCACAGGAGGAACTTGCCAGTGAAATGGGAACAGCCAAAGGAAGGTCCTCAAGATCCACAGGATTACAGACAACCAATTGTGGATCAACTGTTTCTCATCCTCACCTCAAATACATCATTATGCAGATGTATTTTAAGGCAGCTATCTTTTCTACTTTAAACGAGTGAAGTAGACACCCTATAACCTTCTACAAGTGGGAAATAAAAGGTGATTATAAAAAAAGTGTGTTTATTTTCTCTTCTGAACAGCTGGGCTTGTTGCCAAATATTTTTTGACTCAGAGCTGAAGAAAACATATGGCTGAGCATGCTTGTTTCAGAGAAAGTAACAGGCTTTCCTGGAAACTAGGTGGATTCTCTTTGGAGGGTGGTAGAGGCAGTAATTCAATTACAATTTGATTTTATTGGATAGAAGAGGGTGAAATAATGTTTATCTCCAAGTATGATTTAATCTGAACAGGATTAAAATTAGAAAATCAAGCAGCCCTGTGAAGACTTTTTTTTTTTACTGTGACTTTCCTTTTTAAAAAATGTAGTTTGACCTCTTCTGGAGATGAGGCCGCTCTCCTAGAAAGCCGTTGACAGCTATTTTTATTTCTTCTGAGCTCTTTTTACACTTTGATCATGCTGTGGGTCAGTACATACCAAAACTGTACTGACAGTTAGTGAGAATATGATAAAACATTGATTTTATTCACTTTTTCATGACCCTTTTATGTATTACCCAGGAAATTACGTCCAATTTTTGCCCCATTTTGGCTACAGTGGGACAATTTATTTATTTTCTGAAATACTGCTAGTCACGATATGTTTCTCTTCATTTATACTTACTGTGAAAAAAAAAGAAACAGTGAAATTAAAAGTCTCACCTGTACACAATACTCAAAAAACAAAAACAAGCATAAGAACAAAAACAGAAATGCTGCTTGGTGAATTGCCAAGTAGGATTATTAGAGGCAAGGTGAAGTCAACAATCCTTTAAATATTTAATCAGTTATTGTGCAAATAGTCTCAATTCCACAGTGTCTTGTCTGGCTGCAAAGAATGTTTTTGGAAGCGACAAACTCAGACGGTGAGACCCCAGCGAGATCTTATGACAGGATGAATTATGGTTCCATATGAAGCATACAGTCTTTTGATGACCGTGGCATATAAAATCATATCCTAAATGCCAACTACATTTTCCTGGATCTTGCTGTGGACTCTTTATATGTTGCAACATGGCCCACCGATACTAATTAAACAATGATAAAGAAACTTCTTTGGCTAATATAAATCCTTTCTAGATTTAGAAGGAATGCATTGGTGTTTTCCTTTTTCAGCAAGTCTTTACTTATGGACAGCTATCCAATTGATTTTTTTTCTGATTTTAATATATTTCTAGCAGATTTTACTAGAGCTTTGACTCCATACACTGACAAGCTGTGCTTCTCATGTAAAATTATTTAAATTTCTATTATCGAATTCGTGAAGGTTTTCTTTTCCCTCCTTAAGGTTGATGATTTATCTTTTACCCCAAATGCATCCTGTGTTTGAAATACTAAACCTAACAACTATCTACTGCATCATGTCTATGTTTGATTTTTAAAAAAAGAAGTTTACACCAGATAGCATAAAATACATAATTCTGTTTAATACTATGAATTTGAGAATGGACATTTGTTGAAATGTTATGTGTGCTATGAATTCAATGTGTACCCTTGAGAAATCATCTTTCTCTTATTCATAGAAAAAAGAGGGAACATATTTACTTGGTTCGCAAAATGTATAGGCCACTCTAGTCTTGAAAAATTCTGGGAGGCGTGCGACATAAGCAATAAAAGGGCATAGTAAGAATCCCAAAAGAAACTAATGAAATCATTCTTCCACACTATTCCATAAAGGCATTCCCAGTCATCCTGGGCAGAATTGAAAAATATATTATTTTATAACAGTAATCATTATCTTATTATTACTATAAGGAAAGCAACACAAAGGTTACCTAGTAGTAGCATCAAAGATACTCACAGTAGCAGCACAGGAAATAAACCAGCACAAATGGTTTAAGGTCTGCATAATTCAGATACTTCTCCCTTGACTTCTGCACTCATTTGAATGGACATTTCAGTGTTATTAAGGTATGCAATAGTGTACATGCGTAACTTGATCTCTAACATCAAAATAAATCAAGAAAGCTCTTTTTTATTATGAGGCATTCTAGGTGGAGAGGTGTGCTAGCCTGTGATAAAAAAAAATCAGGAGTCTGGTAGCATTTTTTCCAACTAAAAATTTTTATACGTAGGCTTTTCAAAAGCGTTTGCAGGTCATAAAAGCTTCTGACTAACGGCTACCAGACTCCTCCTGATTTTTTCTTTAGGAGGGTTATGCATGAATATTAGAGAATCCTGTTGAGGTGTAAAATTCAATGCATAAGGAGTAACTTCAATTATACAGGTATTACCCTCAAGAGTTCATGCGCTCACACATGCTTTCATGTGAGCTGAATTGGTAATTTGGATTTGGAGCATGTGGGTCAAATACATCAAGGGTATCCAGGTTCATCAGTCTTTCATGCTTTCTGTAGAGATTACAACCAAGATGGTTACATAGAAAGAAAAGGAAGAGAACAGGGAAACCAAATTCTGAAGGCCTAAAAGAGTTATAATGCCAGCAACAAGTATAAGAAGGACATTTAATGGTTCTTGGAGAACACACAGTGTCTCTGAAAGAAGGAGAAGGGAAGAAATACAGCCAAAGGACATTAATGGGAAGAAGAAAAGAGGCATTAAAGAGAAAAGGAGAAGCCATCAACAACAATGTCCAAGAGCCAGCTGGTGCTGGGCAGAAGCTAAATTTGATTACAACCTAAAAATGGGCTTTATTTGTACCTTAATTCAATTGTTGAAGTTTGACAAGGACCATCGATCAAATGCTCTTATTTTAATCAAGATGCTATTCTTTCTGTTATTCATTTAAGTATTCATAGCTTGTAGTATGTTTATGTTTAGAATATTTTTATGTTTATGGTAAATTATTATATGCTATATGAATGTGCATTTTGATGAGCATCTGGGGAGGGGAAAACAGCTTACTGGGAATCTGAGAATCTGTCTTTCTTAAAACCAGGAACAGACGCTTACTGAGAAAAGCACACCCTCAATAAGAGTGCTTCCCTTTTCTCTTTAGGGGAACTGCTGATTCTCCAATTGCTCTAAAGCTTCCCATTAAACACTGCTGTTTTTCCTGTTTCCATGAAATTTATACCGGAAATCAGGAGTTGGAGGTGGAAAAAAAAAACTCCAAAGAGACCTCGGTCTACTGGTTGATGTTCGAGGGCAAAGTAATCGGCCATCAGCTGTCTTGTCCCAGGACAACTCACTAGCAGCACAGATCACCCAGTGAACATCTATGATGGAAAGCAAACCATCGCACTGGCCCTGTTCCAAAGCTTCATCACTGCACCACATTCTACCTAGAAATTCCTTGTAAATAGTTGGTATTTCTATCTTTAAAAAAAAGAAAATCTCCAGGAAAAGGTTCCCATTTTTCTAATTCAAGCTATGTGATTTTCTGAGTGAAAAAGTAAAAGTGCACAGGATTTTTCTAACAAACCAATGTTTTTCAAACAACATTAGCCAAATACGAACACAATAATCTCTATTCTAATAACATGCGTATCTTATGGGCAGATAATGAGGTCTGATTATGTAGCTATCTTTTAATCTCATCTATGACGCTGAAAGTTGCCGGCCAGAAATGGTCGACGCTTCAGCGGTTCGAGTCCAGCCTTCGCGCTAAACAGGGTGAGCTCCTGTTTCCTCCCCAGTTCCTGTCAACCCATCAGGTCGAATCCTCACGTGAGTAGATAAATGGGGACTCTCACTCCGGTGGGAGGAAAAAGGCTGGCGGCGCCTTGCAAAAAGGGAGTTG